AAAAAAAAAAAAAAAAAGAATACGAGCCAAGCCACCAAAACAAAACCAAAAACCAACTACCTTTGTTCATCTGAGAAAATTATTGGTTAAAAAAAAAGAAAGAAAACAGATTATTTTTGAGACATGTTGGCCATGGTTTTCTAAAACCACATAGTTGACAAGAGGCAGAGACACTGACACATTCACAGTTAGAAAACTGGGCAATGACCCCTCTGAAAGGCCCTGAAAATAACAACTCCTTTAGCTAGTGAGTCCACTGCTAGGACAGGATGAACATAAGGATTTCAATAGAAAGGCTTTGCTTTCCCTTCTCAGGGACAAACTAAAATCAACGCAAACAGGATGTGGACAATTCTGAATTTCAGCTATTAAACTAAAAGTTCACCTAAAAAAAAAAGAAAGAAAGTTCACCTTCTAAAAATTCCACATTTGTCATGGATCTTTAATATTACTAAATTAAAAAAAGTTTTGAGACAAACCTTTTAACAGCTTCCTTCTTCGGATTATCTATGATATCCCACCATTTTGAAAGGTAAGAGATCTCAGACCATATAAACTTCCTGCTTGAGTCTTCTTTCAGCTTTAGGACCATGTTATTAAAAATATACTGAGTCTTGTCTCTAAAGTAGTCATTGAAAGTCTTCAACCAACCTAAATCAAGACACAAATACACCACAAGGTCCAATTGATATGGCTGATTTCAACTTAGTCACATTCCATCGAATTACTATTGGATAGATACCCTTAGCTCTTTCATTCAAATAAAGCCCACATTTTAAAGCTAACAGTGTTTAATTAATGAAAATTTCTATTGTTTGACAGGGCACTAAAAACCTAATGTTACTGAAATGATGAAATATTCAGACATTCACAAAAACTCAGACAAATGAAAACAATGAACTAAAGCTTTAAAAAAGCAGTTATTTATATTTAACAATTAATTCAATTACTTGTCTCTAGGTATGGATTTTTTTTAATTTAATTAATTAAAAATCTAAATAGTACTAACAAGTATTCTCATAATTTGGGATCAGAATTGTACCATCTCATCACACATCTGCAATCCCCACCCATCCAATAAATTAAAACTAAAACAAAGCAAGGTAAATCCAAACTAAGCCTTAACACTCGTAGCAAAGCATAGAGTGGTTACAGAGCTGATACGAATTCTGAACATAGCACTCTGCCAAAAACAGGCATTTGCTCCCATCATGCAATTGTCTAGGAGCAAAAAATAATACTAAATAAACAACAAACATGAACATGTTAATGCCCCGCCCCCTCCAGAAGAGAATTTGGTTCCCTAAATTATCCTACTACTTCTCAAATAACTTGGAAATTATTCCCCAAAATCATTAGACTTGGGGTACAGGAAACATTCTTAACAAAAGTCACAAGTCAAGCCCAGGTCTACCAGACAGATGACTAAAATGGCAAAGGTTATAATCTGCATGGCCACCAATTGCACAGATTGGTGACAGACATAGTGGACCCTGTGGAGGATGATTTGTTCTCATGTAAACATCTTAAAGAGAGGAGAGCTACTACTTCCAAGCCGACCTACTGTTCAACTGCTACCAAAATTCACACATTCAAGAGACCTGCCGGGTAGTGAGTCCAAACAGCACTTCCTTTTGCCTATGATTAACTTAACAGCCTATATTGCATTTGCCAGTGGAATAAAAAAGAAAAAGAAAAAAAGGAAAAACCTTGATGGGGAAGTGCATATAATATGCTTGCTTTAACAGTATATTTTCAAACAGATGTGTCTGAAAAGGGTAATGTAGCTGTGACAATTTCTCCCAATTGCTAAGCACCTGCAATATTCAGGTATGATACTAGGAGCCAAACAAGAATACAATATCAAATTTTCTTTGTAAGACTTTCTCAATCTAGGGCACATCTGAGCTGGTTTGTCATCAAAGAATGCTTTCTGGATGATTTAACTTTCCCATGTTAGACCAAAAAACCTTTGCCTTCAGCAAAACTCCAAGATCTCTTATGCAAGAGTGGTGTGCAAGGAATCCCATCACGTTTCACCAGGGCACTAACCCCAAGCACTGCATCAGGCACAGGGCCAGGACCTGTATCTAGATTCCCAGAGAGGAGCAAAGAAATGGCTATTTACCCTTCGGTGAGGATGTCCATTCCAACACTCTACTCTTAAATGAAGATATCCAACCCAACACTCTACCCATTGGTGAGGATGTCCATCCCAACAATCTACACATCAGTGAGGATGTCTATCCCAACATTCTACCCATTGGTGAGGTGTCCATCCCAACACTCTACCCTTCAGTGAGGATGTCCACCCCAATACTCTACCCTTCAAGTGAGGATGTCCATCCCAACACTCTTGAGTTTGAAGATGTGAGTACTCAAGACTAAGCTTGGGAGATATAACAGAAACTCTGAAAAAATAATAGAATAGTTGGCATTCTTTTTCCCTATCAACAGCCTGGCATTGACCTTTCCCATTTGTACAATCAAATGAGGGAAAGACAAAATTTAAAAAGGCATTTCTGTGTCAGGCAAAATCCTAACTCCTCCTGCCTCAGAACATGATTGTATTGGAGACGAGGTCTTTAAATTGTTAATTAAGGTAAAATAATGTAAGGAAGGGGGATCTTAATCTCATACAATATTAGAACCCAGGCACATATGGAGAAACCTGGCAGCACAGATGAGGAAGAAGGTCACTAAAGCTAAAACCAAGGAGAGAGGCCAAAAAACTTCCAGTCTCTAGACTGATCCGCTGATGCCATCAGTCTGCAGTGCTCTGTAACAGAGGCCAGGAAGGAGACTAGTGCAGCCTAAGAACTAATGATGTTACCGCTTTTCAAAAACTAACCATCACAATATTTATTCATCAATTTCCATTATAATGTTTGATTTAATATTCTATGTCTACCTACACAGCACAAGATTAGGCTAAATTCACAGATGTAAAAACAAATGCACTTCTGTACCATGATCATATATGCGCACAACAAGGACTGGTAAACCTCCCCCAAGGGCTCAATTAGAATTATCATCTTTAAAATATCAAACATACCTCTTGCCTGGATTTTAGCAAAGATCAATTACTTGCCTATGGACAAAACTAAGGAACTCTGGGCAATGTAAAGCCTCCAAAACTAATTTTAAAAAGAAAAACAAACTCCCTTTTATGGTAAAGTAAGAAGGGCTATTTTTTTATCAATAGGTGAAAGACCTTTGTAAAAGTACAACTATGTAATTCCAACAACTGGAACTTGCTACTAATAGAGATCGTTGCATTCCAAAGGCAGTTTATCACAAGAGTTTTCAGAGAGAAACTACAGTGACTGATTCATCCATTCTGCCTTCAACACTTCATTTGTCCTTCAATGATCAGGCAGAAAATATGTCAAAGATATTTACGTGAGGCAAAATACAACTCAGAGATGTCAACTTAAAAGCCTTCCATAAAACTCATCTATAATTGATACTAATACCACTACAATATAACATAATTAATGAATAAAGAACTGAGAGTTTCTTGCAGCTTTCAATATTGAGTAATATTACAGTAAATTAGCTTTTATTGCTCTTATACAATAGACTAATCAAGTATTCCCTTTGACTCTGAATTGGTTCTTTCTTCCTCTAAATTATTGTTAAAAACTACAATTGCATATTAACGTGAGACCAATCAGAAAGATAATTTTTTATGCAAAGTTGCATGGGATGAATTTTTGTGATGTAAAATTATATTCCTACCTCTAGATTTAATAATCTGAGGACAGCGAGTTGCAAGTTGATTTACTTAAGTGGTCAATTCACAGCTTTTCTCTTTCCTCTTAATACACTAGGAAATTGAACCAGGACTAGACTACATTAAAAATACTGTTCCTTTTATCCAGTTTTGCCCTAACAATGCTATCTATCACCCACATAAGAACTAACAGCTATTTTAAATTAGTTAGGAAGAAACCAAAATGAGTGAAAGATTAGAAGCTCTACAAAGAAGGTATAAATCCCTATTCAATGCCATTATTTTTTAAGTCCCCCCCCCAAAAAAAGAAAAAAATCTAACAAAGTTAAAAGGCCAGTTGTCTATTTTTTATGTGCAATTAAGCAACCTAGTACTTATTCACTGGCAAATCATGCTTTGTATGTTTGTATTTTAAACTCTGGATCATAGCTTGGAAACCTGGAAATCCAATCCTCTTAAGGGACACTTCCTTTCACACACAGTATTACCCACCTACTCCACCCCATCCCCCTCAACCTGTGTAAAAGGTGCCTCACCAGAGAACAGGTCTCCAGAAATATCTCCTCATTATTCTGCTGACCACACTCCTTTCTACAATAGTACCCCAGAGCAAAGAATTTTCCCACTCAGGGTTTGCCCTGCCCACTAAGTCCTACAGCTTAGAAATCAGAGTCAAACAGCCCCGAGTTGACTTTCCCAGCCTGCCAGGTCCCTTTTGTAAGTCCTTCTTCATTAGGACACTCAGCCCTGTAGTGGGACCTTCAGAGCTGAGAGCATCCAAAATACCGCCATTCCACAGCATGTAGATAATGCTGTACTATGTGCAAGCACAACTCTTATTGGATGGGGTCAAGCCCAGATAGGGGAGGAAGGAGAGTCTGGCTACCCCACAGGTTGTCTCTTCCCAAACACGCCATGGCATTTCTGCAGCCTGAGAGATCCACACCCACGTTTGATCTATCCAATCCCTGATCTACTTCTGTTTCCTCAGGGGAGTGGACGGCCCCCCCTCGCCTCCTCTCTTCTTCTCTCATCTCATCTCTTTGCAATCCATTTCTTTGATTTATAACTTTTAAATATTTAGAAACAAAGAGTGGGGGCCTTTGTGTATTTGGGCCCTAGCTTCTGAAAAACTGAGAAGCAGAGCTGGGCAAACACCACAACTAAAACTTCAAACCAGCCTATTCTCATGAATGGAAGAGTTCAGTGAATATGTGCAGGATGAATGAACAAAACCTCAAGCACATGGGCTTCACATGAAAATGTGTCCACCTAGAATGCAGACAAATGCACAACTTACTTGGTTCAACTTTAATATGCTCTGCTACCCTAATGGTCACTGCCCAGTACCTCCAAACTGAGCCACTAGTTACATTCTAAAAGTCTCTAGTAGGCCCGGCATAGTGGAGTGAGCACACCTTTAATCCCAGTACTTTGGAAACACAGGCAGGACCATCTCTGTGACTTTGAGATCAGCATGGTCTACATAGTGTAGCCAGGGCTACACAGAGAAACCACCCCATCTGGGGGAGGGGGGTGGAGGGGGGACGACACACGGCACCACTAGTAGGCACAAACATTCCAAAAACCAGGAACCTCTCTCAATAGCATTGTGACATTGTGAGGGTCACTGCTGCTATAATCATTTTTTAAAATAACATTAATTGTACTCGAAAGTTATCATCACTAGCTTTTAGGGCTTCATGGAAAGATTTTGAGCTGAAAGTAATTATAGTCAGGTAAATGGCATACTGTTGATCACATAAAAACCAGCAACTTAAACTTGGAATTATTTCCATTGTACTGTTACAGTATCCCCAAATTTAAAAAAGTTATACAAAGGGAGCTTATAGCTTCAAATAAACCTTCTTTATCTTAGTAATAAAGTTATCTTCTATTAATAAATGATCAACAA